TATCCCAAGACATGGACCTCAGTCTCCGGCGGGTAGAGCCGCTGCGCCGCCGAGATTGCTTCTTGGTAGTAGCGGTTTTTCACTTGTGCCTCGTCGTCAAAATCGCCGTCTTGAAGCCGCGAAGGAGCAGACAAGAACTGGAAACCGTTGGCCTCCATGGACCACTGCCTTCGCGTGGGCTGCGTATCAATCACATCGACCGTAGCGTCGAGGAGCTCGTAGTTTGACTGCGTGTGCCCTTGGTCAGACACATCGAGCATGATTTTGAACGGCTTCTCATTCTGGTACTTGTCAAGGGGAGTTAGGTGCTGAATTGTGGTGCGAACCGCCCCGGGGTACGAAGGGCTATGGTCAAAGGGATTTGAGCGGGGAAGTGAGAGGAAGATTGGGGTGTATTGCGGAGAAGTTGAAGAAGCGGGGAAGCTGTAGAGAAGAGAGACAAAAGAGACAGCTGGATGTTCTGGGTGAACGACGAGACACCCAATGCTGTTGATAAGCCCTTGCTAAGCCGCCTGTTCTACTCCCTTCTCCCCCAGTTCCCAGCTCAGCATACATATAACGAAGTCATCCTGCAAACCTCACTCGGAAGACTGTCTACGAACAGCGTGTTCCCCATGTCCCCCGCCTTCCAGTTTTCCGGCGAATGCCGGTCCCCCGCCTTCCAGTCTCCCGGCGAATGCCGGTCCCATGTCTCAACGTCCACCGCCCTCTGCCGTCGGAGGGATAGCAGGCCCATCCGTTGAAAGCATTTCCCGTTCCCATGTTTCACGCATGGCTGCACAGCCAGGCAAAAAATCGGTTCATCCGTAATTGACAACAAGACGACAAACGTCGCAGACTGCAGTCCTTCACTCGGGTCATCAGGGTGAGCCAGCACGTGGTCGTCATTTGCGGCTCGATCCATCCGGCTCAGGAAGGTATAATATGGCGCGCGGTCATATAGGCCGAAGGATTTGTGTTCTTTGGGCAGTTCCTTGATCCTGGCTTCAAAAACCCAGGCTGTGATGTGGAGATAGAGCGCATCCAGCCTGCCAAGGCCGACGGCGATGTCCAAAGCCGACTCTGTGTCGTTGGGAACGCTGGTTTCATTCTCGGTGGTCCCAAACCCGACTCGAATCTCCTTCACCAAGAGGCTGTAGTCGGCGGGGTAGAAGTCGTCAAGTTGAAAGAATCGGACGTCGTACGCCCTGGATGGGGCACGCCACCCCATCCATGACCATGAAGGAAGACAAGCTGCTTCAATCCGTCGGAGTGAATCTCGACCACTGGGATTTCTTGCCACCAGGCTCCAGCACAGTCCAGGAACAAAACCCGCCAAAACTAGATCGGCTGGTAATTCTGCTCCCCGAGAACGCTCAAGTCTTGCCTCGCTATACAGGAGCGACTTTAGCTTCTCCCATAGTGTTGAGCCCCGCTTTGGTTTGATCTGATCCGCGGTGGAAAGCGGGGATGACATCCGGTAGACTGGAACAGCACAGAGATGCCGAAGTCCGGCGGGAGACAAGGCGAACTCCTGTAGGATACCCTGGAATGCCACAAGTCGGTCGGAAATGTATGTGAACTGGCGACAGAAATACTCGGTGGCGTGGATTCCGAAGTGACTGGCGTCGAAGCCGATCGGCCCGTGCGGAAGGAGCTGCGGCACGGTGCGGGGTATACTCAAGGCGAATAGCAGATCCTCATGGAAATTGTCGGTTGTTGCCGTGTCGGAAAAGCGCTCATCCCACTTTGACTCCCAACACTGGAAGACGACCAGACGATCGGTAAGGACCAGTCGTCGCCGGGATACCACGGCCTCTTGATATGTCCATCCCCGGCTGTTCCAGGTCGATCCTGCGAACGAATCCATGTGGCTGTCATAGGAGTCTTGAATTTTGGACTCACTCAGGACTGGCACAATGGCGTAGGGCCCTAGTTTCAGCATAGATGCCTGGGGCACATTGGGACGCTGTCGGGAAACGCCAGGAAGGCCATAAGTTGGGCCGGATCCGGCAGCGGCGATGATTGTGAGCTCTGCCTGTTTGTAGATGAGATTCATGTTGCGAATTTGGGCATCCTTGGTCTCAGCATCATCCTGCAAGATGCAGTAACGGTCGACCCAAAGGTATTGAAGCCCTAGCTGGAGACAGACAGATATTGCGTCTGCTACCACCAAGGGGATATCAGCGGGAAGCCGTGATCCGGAAAAAATGATCGGCGTCTCCGTTGCTGCTCCCCAGACATAGCTAAGAGCCGCGTATTCGAGACTCCGAGTTCCGACATGCTCGGTGAAAGGGACCAGGGTCCAAGTTCCGCAGTCGATGACGTGAAGACCCGGAATGCTCCGGGGAATGTTTCTCCCACATGAGCTGCTATGCTTTCTTCGGCAGTCCGAAAACGCCAACTTGATCCCTTCCCAGTTCAGCTTCTGGTCCGGTGCGCACTCAAGGTGCACCTCCCAGCCCTGTGATTTGGGAGATCGAAGTGTGCTTGCGCGAGTGCAGTCATGTGTAAATGCGTACTCAGCGACTGGGGTTGGTTGGGGTCCTCTGCTCGGTGGGTGTATGGTGAACGGTGTGGATTTGATTATGGGGAACGGCGTGAATGCGATTGCGAGGAACGGGTCGTGGTTACTCCAAGTCCGCCTTGAGCTCGAGTAGTATATCTGCACGTGGATCTCCACGCTGTCGAAGGCCATCGTAGGGTCGACCTCGCGCAAAAGGCCATTGATGATCCGACACAAAGTACAGAGGGAGGCGTACGCGGGGAAAGGCCAGCGTAGAGGAGGCTTAACATGCAAGATGGGCTTTCGAAGATGTGCGTCTGTCGGATCTCCGAGATGAACGAGGAGGCTCTCGGGCGAGCAGGCAGCCACAACGGGCGCGAGGTCGAGCTGCCCGCAATCGCAAAATGCGGGGATCACGTGGTCCATTTGGGTCGCCGAGAGTGGCGACTTCTGAAAGTGCCGGATACATTTGTCGTTGCTGGGGAGTAGGATAGTTCGTTCTTTTTTTCTTTTTTTTTTTTGCAGACGACGAGTTGAGGCGATGTACGCGGTGAGGTCAATGCGAGCTGGGTTGTGTTCCCTTTATGCCAGCTGTGGGCAGTGTCAGCTGACAAAATCGACGAACTTCGTTCCTATTGGATCCAGTAGACCCTGCGATGCTCGCCGAAGTAGATCTAAAGTCGTTCGGTACCCAAACATTAGAAACTAAAACTGTGGAATTTAAACCGCGTTTACTGGTTAGGGACCTAGAGTCAGCACTGGATCTCCAGCTCGAAAAAAACTTACCAGAACTACCAAATTCACGCCTCTGACCTATATGTCATTATCACAAGCTGTATTGTCTAAATTGTAAAAATCATCATCAGCCTTTTATTCTCCTCCACCGCCATGAAAACAGGGACGCCAACGCCTAGAAAGAAACGTATCTAAAATGGCCTAAGGACAAGCCATTCGCTTTAACCCCCATACGTCTGGCGCAAGATGCTACTCCGCGGCCCCGCAAACTACCCAGGACTGCTTCTCTCCTCAGCCTCCACGAAAGGAGGCGCCGGTCGCTTCGTCATCGACCTCGGCCACACCAGCCCATACCCAGCCTCATAGAAGTCCCCGTGCTCCGCCGCCATGGCAAGATCGACCGCCACGCGGACGTTGGGAGCAACGTTTGCCTGGAGGCCCATCTCCTGCCCCTGGATGAGTATGTCCCGCCACCGGGCACCGATGCGCGAAAAGTACTTCCTTTCACGCTCAGCACCAATGAGGTACACGGTCTTGGGGTTAGGCGTGCCGGCGGCGAGGGTGATGGTGTGGTTCTCCACCAGGCGCTCGGCGTGGCGGGTCGTGGCCTCGGTCATGGGCTTCGTGCTGTACTGTGTGATGGCGAGCAGCGGGTAAGTGCGGGGGTGCTTGGCCCACTCTGCGCGGAGGTGGCGGAGCCAGGAGGTGCACTCGCGGTCGGGGACGCCACTGGAGGAGACGTGGAAGATGGGGGCGTGGTTGCCGATGAAGGCGAGGCGGTCGGCCCCGTGGGTCCGAGGGTATCCCTAAGGGCTGGTCGATTTTGCCGCCGTTGAGCAGGAGGTTCGATGTAGAAGTGGCAGCCGCTTCCTTATGATCCAACCTATTTCTTTGGGTCTCTTCTCCAAGGGGATGGTGGTGGGGGAGCGGTACTTGGCGTATTTAGGGTAGAAGTACGCAAACTTGGAGGTCGTCAGGACGAACTCGAAGCCGTAGTACCAAGCCAACCTACGTGCATTTTCGCCGTTGCCAGAGAGGACGAGGGCCGACTTCATGATGTAGTCAATAGGCACGTACTTCATTGGCGCGGCTGCCACGCCAATGGACCGCCATGAGATCTCACAGGGAAGCCTGGAATGGTTGTTGAGCATGTTGGCGGCGTTCCCCTCCAGCATTTTAATCCCGTTGAATAAAATGAAAAAGGGTATATGATTATGCTGCAGGTAGAGAAGGGTGAGGACACCAGGGCCAGGTCGTGCCGTGTCGCTTCCTAGAGCTGTGAGACGAACCTCCATCTCAAAAACAAAGGCAATTCGCGCGGGCAGCCGGGTCGGGGCAACGGCGGCCTGCATCGTCTTCATTTCAGTACTGGTATTCATTGCGACGGATCTAGAAATTCTCGAGCAGTAGACGTTGGCTCGTGGGCTGCAGTCTCAGTTAGCTGTGCAGGAGTCCGAAATTAAGAGAGTCAAATCAGGATAAATTTCTTTTGACTGGCCGTATCGATAAGTGAGGTACATGGCTGCCAAAGGCCGAAACATTGAAGGAGCGCGTTGACGTTTGCCGTGGAACAATCTGATTGTCGAAAAGATATAGACCAAAGCCCATATTAAAGAGGTCGCTGAACCAAATTTTTGTTCTCTCTCAGCCAACAAGGCACAGAACCCACCTAGCCAGAAGGAAACAAAAGGGTAAGAAGAGAAAGGAAAGACAGAACGGGCAGAGAGAGAACCAAACAACCCCTAGAAAAGGATGTCGATTCTGACAAGCATATCGAGTTCTCGGATATGGGGAGTCGACCCCCGGGCCAGGCTTCTGCGTGACTCATGTGATGAGAGTCAGCGATGTTACCTCTAGACCATACCCGATTGATGGGCGAATCAGAGGAAATGTCCACTTACCAAGGGCTGGCCGAGGCCGAATCCTTGGTCCCTCGGGTGTTGCATATGTTTGGAAGGACGTCGTTGGGAAGTTTGAGTTTCAGACATAATTTCCAAACATAGGGCTACGCATTACTGCCAATGACCATCGATCTCCCGAAACATGCTACAAAAATAAAGGTCAAAGTAGTCCGAGGTCCTGGTGACTATAGCTCCAAAGCCATGCTTCACCATCGCGAGACCGCGAACCATGGGAACAAGACCTTGCCATCTGCATTAGCCTCCCAAGAAGAGCCTGCCAATGCTATGGCCTCGTCCCGACGGCGTGAGACCACCAAACTGTTACCCGAGATCTTCAGATTCCCGTGTTCTCTACCAAACCTTTTACGGCCAGCCCACTGGCTCTTCTGAAACCTCCTCTTCTTGTCCTTCCCCTTCTGAATCCTCCGCCACTCCACTTCATTTTCCCTAGCCTAGTCCTCATCGTTAAGGTAGTACAGCAGGACAAGTCTCTCGGGGCGACGGTTCAACTCAGAGGACCACGTCCCCCCCGTCCAATGGTCGGGCACCTCCACGCCCCACGCCGTCTCCAACTCGTGCTTCCACTGCGCCTCCCACGCCTCCTGCTTCGTTCGCTCCAGTTTCTCTGCGAGCTCTGCCCGAATCAAGACCCTCGCGATCCCTTAGCCCTCGGTCCCCTGCTCGTTGTTGGTAAGATCCAGACCAAAGCGTGTCATTATCTGTATTTCTCCACCAAATCGCTCCTTCAGCCACGAAGTTTCCTTGTGGTCAAAATCTCCAAGCGGACGACCTGGCTAGTTCCACTCTCCGTCGGTGCCGACCAGCTTTCGCTGTTCGTCTCTCCTTCTCGTCGTGTTCAGGCGTTCGTCGTAGTACGGATCGTCATGGAAAACGTCGTGCCACCTGTCAAATTCCTTGCCGTTCCATCTGAACTCGAGAGGATAGAGGTTCTGCCCCTGTGGCCCGGCATAGTACGTGCTGAGCTGCGAATTTGCCAACTTGGGCAGGATCGGAGCCCCGCTAAGGTGCAGCGTCATTAGACCCGGGATCAAGTCGTCGCGTTTGTCGAAATACGCGAGCTTGTAGTTGATGTCCTCGGGGCTCACGATTTCGCCGGCGACTCCGGGGATGGTGCAATAATTCCCGAAGCGGACCGTGTGATAGTTGAGTGGCCAATAGTCGTCCGTGTCGAGCCCTCCCATGAAATTGAAGGGACATGTTGGGATGTAAAGAACATGGTGGAGGCGAAGTATTCCATGGGCGGCAGGCCCATGAAGGTGCGGCGCAAGGCGCACCGGGAGATCGACGGTCCCAATGCCTAGGACGGGCAGGTAGGCAATTTCAGGAGAAGGTTTGGTGACCGTGAGAGGGAGAACACTCTTGGGAGCGGTGCTTAAGACTGCGTCGTAAGAAGGTTTAGGAGCAGCCTTGACCGGATGGTGGACTTGGTGGGATTGCGTCCCCCCGAGGTGGAGAGGTCGGTGATAAGATCGGTTATGTTGGCGAGTTCCGGACGATCGAGTCTGGTGACAGGGTTCTTGTTGGGATGCTGCTCAACATACGAGCGCCAAGGTACATAGTCGAGAAACCACGCAAGGTCGTTGCAGATGCTGTGGATTGGGGGTGCAGGTTAGTCAAGGGTGCGGCCTGGGGCTGGAGAAGTAAGGGGGGGAACATACTATACATCTAAACGCATCGACCAAACCCAGTCCAGGCAAATTTGACTAGGGTCGCAATCTGCCGGGAAACCATAGAAAGGCGGCGGAGGAATGGATGGATTGCGATGGTCCCCCTTGGAATAGTATTCGTCGAAGAGTGCTTTCTCAACGGGATTATCAGGGCGACGCGGGTGAGGCATCGTAGCGAGGGCCTAAGAACCTGAGGATTAATACGCGATTGACTCCCTGACTTCCTGACTGGCTGATGATCCTTTTCTGTGTCGTGACTTGCCGATATTGCGGGTGGTTGGAAGGTTGGAGATGCAGTGAGGTTGCAGGCGGTACTTCCTAGGAATCGGGACGACGCCGGCTTTAGAGGGATTAGGTTCTTAGAACTGGCCGTCAAAAGAGAGCCGGGATTGAATTGAAAGAGAAAGAAAAGGTACGGCAGAAACCATCCGCAGGTAGGTCGAGGTTCAGACAGCCCGAGTGTGCGAGCAGCAGGCTGGTGCAGAGACTTGGAGAAGAGATGATGCAGAGGAAAAGAAGGAACTTGTCAACGCACAATGAAGCTGAAAAGAAGGAAAGACTCCCAAGTTGTCGGCGTGACGGGTTGGAATAAATAATGCCCCGGCGGTCTTGCGAATTTCGTCGCGATTAAAGTGGGGCCAGTCAACTGAGTATTTTTTCCCCTGGTGCACGGACCAGCGACAGCCAAGAAGTAAACAATGGTCACTCGTTTGAGGGCAGCACTTGATGACAGGTATCACAAATAAAGCGACCTTAAAAATACTCGTTTCATTTCCCGCCTCTAGACAAATCAAGGCCTTCTCCAATCGTGGGCCCCATCTAAAATGTCAACGCTCATCGCTCCATTCCATCCCAACGCGCTCACTCTCAGCCTCTCAAAACAGCCCCAAGAGATCGTCACTCCCGCCCTTCGGGTCCGATGCCTTCTGTCCCGTCTGCTGCTGCGGTGGGGGTGGCTGGCTTGTCGCGCCGAGGTCCAGCGCCGCAAACCCGCCCATCATGGACCCCATGCCCGGTGGCGGGCTCTGCGTCGTCGCCGGTGCGGCGCCATCACCGCCAAACAGGTCCATCATGTCGGCCATACTGCTGCTGCCGCCGGCCGATGCTGCGGCGGGGCCACCCGGGGTGCCAGAGCGATCCGGCAAGCCGACATTGTGCTCGGCGCTGGCTGGGGCGGCTCCGTCAAAGTCAATGTCCAAGAGATTCTCAAGATTACTCTGTGACGCGCCACCAGAGCCGTTGGCCGCATTAGCTGTTGCCACAGAAGCGGCAATGGGGTTCTCCTCGAGGTTCTCGAGCTGTTCCTGGATGGCGGCCCGCTGGATGGCATCGGCGCCGAAACGACCCTTGCCGACGAACGCCTCGGGAGGCTTGTGGTAGACGGAGGCGAGGGTGGAAAGTTCGGTGAGGAGCTGTTCGAGCAAGACGGGCGGGAGACTGGTCATCGTGGTGGAGATGGCGGGCTTTTGAGAGAGGATGATGTTCTGCACGGAGTCAGAGACGGATCTAGTTTGGAAAGGGCAAGTGAACAAACCTTGGCAACATCCAGGTCACCAGACAGCAAACGCCAGTAGATATAGGCGCGATCACGGATGTCTGGATTGTCGCTGTTTGCCGTGGCTTGCTGCAAGACCTTTTGCACCAGCTCTTGGTTGTTACTGGGCTTCTTGAGGAAGAGCTTGACGACGGCAGTGAGAATTTGAAGTTGCGTCTGTTGGGTTGTTAGCAAATAAAAGCGATGGGTGGATTGGGAAAACTGACTTGTGTAAACTCTTCATCAAACACGTCGACAAAACCTGACAGGATCTCGTCCGCGTTCTTGATCTTCTCGGCATATTCTCCGACAATCCAGATGAGCGCACCGCGAGCAGTTGGCTCATCCAGCTCGTCAATGTACTTGCAGAGGGTAGGGATGACGCCTTCGTACCCCGGATATTTCCGAAGGATATCCTTGATGACGACGACAACCTCCTGCACAACGTAGTTCACCTTGGTCGCAATGAGATCGAGGAGGGTGTTGACGCATTTCTCACTCGCCGCTTCGATCTTGATGGCGACCTGCCCGATAGCCTTGACAGCGCGCTTGACATAGTCCATGTCCACTTCGAGGGCGTACTCCTTCAGCTCGGCGAGGAGCTGCTCAAAGTTCTTGTCGTTTGCTATCCTGACCATGATTTCGAGCTTTTGCATCTTGACGTATGGTGGGTCGTTGTACTTGCAAAAGAAGACGCGCAGTTCTTTGCTGAGAATATCAGGCTTGGCCTGCAAGAGGAGGTCAATGTTCCTCAATGCGACATACTGCACTTCGGGGGCCGAGGCGATGAGAGTCACTGCAAATTAGGTAAGCACAAGTTGACGGGAGCTTGAGCGGGCCGTCATACCAAGAGGTGGGGCCATCTTCTTCAGGTACTGCTTGACCGACTCGGGGCTCACCATCTTCATGTGGATAAAGACAACCTTGACGGCGGCCAAGACCACGCTGGGGTTGACATGCTGAAACTGCGGCGAGACCCTCTCGCAAATGTGCTCGGCTTCTTTGATATCATGGGCTGGGTAGTCGGCCAGTGTGCTGAGAATGGTGACGCGGCCCCATTCTGTGCACTCGTTCAAGGCCATGAGGAGCTTCTTGAGTGTCGTTGGTGTGATGACCAGCGCTCTCGTCTCGGGCGCCGTCTCGCTGATCTCGGAGAGGGCCTGGACCGAGTTGGCCACGACCATGGGGTTGGGGTCGCCGATAAGTTCTTGCAATATCTCGAGGAAGCCGTTCTCGAGGCAGGTTGCAGGGCTCAAATCGAAGAGCTTGGCGACGCAGATGGCAGCCGTTTTGCGCACGTAGGGGGATTCGTCGCGCAGCGTCTTGCGGAGCGGCTCCTCCATGTAGTCCACCATCTTGTCAACGCGGATGCAGCCCATTGTACGGATGGCCAAGGCGCGAATGAGAGGATTCGGGTCCTCGGAATCTTGGACAAAGGTGTTGACGGCCAGAATGCACAGATCGGGGTGCGACTTGGCGTAGTTCCTGCAGGTTGACGTTGTCAGACAAGAGCCAGGGCAAAAGAGCCCCGGGGACGAGAAGGGCGACCAACATCAAGTAGAGGTACACCAGCTTCTTCTGGTCTAGATCCGGGGTCGCAATGTTCTTCAGCACGTCGGGGAAGAGGGCCGACACATCCTTGCCGAGCGTCATAGCCATGATGGTCTTTTGGATCGACTCCTTGCGCTCGTAGGCATACTGCGACACCAGGCCTGCGCGCAGCTCAAAGGTCTCGCCCTTGCGCG